AACAAAACAAACAAAACAGGCAGGAGCTCAACCATACCCGCTGGTGGTTTAACATAGCGAAAATGGCTCATGAACAGGCTATTTGCTTCCAAATGATGATTTTCCATAGCTATATTAGTTTGCCAGAGGGTAGAATTTTAGAATTGGCAACTGGCTAGTGAGCATGTTTTGTAATGAAGGTATGATATAAGCTAGTGGGGATGGTCATACCCATGCCTCCCCGCAATGAGAGCAGCTTTCTCAATGCCATCAAGATGAGCAACCCAGATTTCTTGGCTGAAAAAAAAACAAAATATCCCGCTTAATCCACATGTGTCCTGCCTATAGGTCCACATGTTTCTTGTTTAAATTGACATCAGTCGCAATTTCTTGCCGTTAAATCCGCAAAGTTTTCATTTGAACCCATAGTCCTCCCCATTTTTTCCTAGGATTTTCCCCTAAATTCACCATGTTTCTTGGATTTCAAATGGATTCTCCCATTTTCCCCCTAAAAAATTTCAGGGTTTTTCTTTGTTCGCGTCCCATCGCCACGTCTCCGGTGCTGCTGCCCAGTTCATAGGCTCCAACAACTTGCCCGGCTCCAAAATCACGGCCTTGTGTTTTTGGCTTTACAGCTTTAGGGCTTTCGGGTTACAGCGTTTCTCGGGGTTTTTGGTGTTGGCTTTAGGCTTCTGGGAAATTTTCCAAACACTGGTTCTGCACAGGTATGATTTCGCATGTCGAAGGAGAATTCTTGAACACCGCTCTGACTTTCTGGGCAAACCATAGGGTCTTTTTGTAAAGTTATGATATATGGTCGGGATATAGTTTATGGTTGGTACACGATGAGGCTCCCATAGCCGATCGCGTTCCGTTGGGTGGGTTTAGACAGAGCTCCAACAACTGGGTGAATTCCATGATCCAACTATCTGAGTATCTATGGTAAATCGCCATAAAGTGTTGTGTCTATCGCTATACAATCTGATTGTACTTATTTATATTTCACTACCCCCGAAAAACAAACGTGATGGGAAATCCCTAAAATGAATGGTGGTTTGAATAGGAAATCATCGAACTCAATAGGGGGATTTTCCAGCAAGCCATATTTGATTACCGGAGGGTACATATCTGCACAGTTACAACTGCTGGGCCCTAAACCACCAGCACCGCAGACCGCACCACAGGTTAAGGCGGCCCAACCATGGGAGTGTTCCCATTCAACGTGCAGGGAGAATCATCTCCAGTCTCAGGATTTATAGTTGTAAAACGATATTCAAATTGATAGCATATATGACCATAGTGACTATAACTATGCACTGAAAATCACTGGTGCTGTGTCCATAATCCTGGAGCCTTGGCATCATTCCTTCAGTTTGGGCGACCTTCAAATGCCTGAGAATGGTGCATGACTAGATTACGACTACCCTCCGGTAATGACTAACATAGCTATTGAAAATGGCCATAGAAATAGTGGATTTATCCATTAAAAATGATGATTTTCCATAGTTTTTTGTATGTTTACCAGGCCGGGTAGATTATGACTACGGTAGATTATGACAGTATTCAATGGGATTTTCAGGATCCTAAATTGGAGGTACCAACCATATATAAGGCCTATTTTTCAGGCCTATGTAAGGGAACATCCCCATAAAATATGGCCAAACATATGGTACTAACGTACCTCCATTTTAGGATCCTGAAATTCCCATTTTAGTTTACCAGAGGGTAAATCCCATTAAATCCCATTAAACCACCATAAAACCACCATTTTCAATGGGAAAATCAACTATAAATGGCAATGACTACGGTAGATTATGACAGTCTTGACACCCCCAAACACCTTTCTGGCACCTGCAAAATCTCTTGCAAGCCCGAGTCAAACAAACTGTTCACGCGATCTCCGGTGGTGAAGAAGGCCAACACCAGCGGCATCCTGGCGCCCCAAAAAAAAAAACGATGGGGGCGCCGGCACTCCGGTGGTGAAGAAGGCCCAAACATGATGGGAGTCTCATGGAATATAGAGTAATATCTATATACATATATATATACAGTATTATTATTATTATTATTATTATTATTACATATATATTAGAATGATATATAGAATGATATAAAATGATACGAATTATCCTATTTGTATATAGTTTAATATAAGCAGCATCAGTGAGGACAAAAATAGAACGGGGAGAACTGGTTGGAAACCATCCTAACTAGCAGTTTTTTGGGGCGTTGTCCCGCACAATCTGTACCACCAGGTGATACTCCGGTTAGCATCTCCGGTCACATCAGGCATTATGTGAATATGGGCTTTCGTATGTTTCAGTCTTAGTTCTTTGAAAATAACAATGCTACCAATATATAATCTTAATAACAATAAATGGTGTGACATGTGTCCTTTCTTTCCAAAATGGCTTGGCTTTAATCGCTCACTTCATGCCCAACATCGGGTGGAGGGCCAACGTTCGCACCTGATGTAAGGCACCGTGAGGAAAGACAACAAAGCCTGGTCCGAGATGGGTTGAGATGGGCCAGTTGACCAAACGATAGGGATATATCATATATCGAAATATGATTAAATATGGATATATCCCTATCACTGATATTTAGATCATATATATATATATAGTCATATTTATTCACCCAAAATCTACCCTCTGGTAAACTAACATAGCTATTGAAAATGGCCATTGAAATAGTGGAATTTCCCATTAAAATTTGTGATTGTCCATCGTTTTTTGTATGTTTACCAGAGGATGTGACACCTCGGAGTCGGAGGCCCTGAGATTTTCGTTGAAGGTCGGCAGACTGCGCATGTAGAGCAGGTCGTCTTCGGTTCCTGTTGAGAAACGGATGCCCGGAGGTCGGTAGATGCCCCAAGGGCGACTTCGGTCGTCGGTGAAAAGAGAGTTTTAGAGGTCCCCCACATCAGCAACTCTGGGTGATCACTATCGACTATGGACTATCATCAAATATGGACTATCATCAAATCTCAGATAGTTGATGAACAAATAGTGATATAGAATTCATTCATATAGTGTGGGTGTTTGAAAAATCCAAGCGACAAGAAATGGAGAAATGGTGGACATCACGAAATACTGACCCCATTCACTGGGTTTGAGCTACTTTTTCCACTGCAACTCTCAGTGCAATGACACAGACGCACAGCAAGGGGGGTTTTGTTTAACAAATGGGACTTTGTTACACCGTGGGGAGCGTCACCAGCTCATGGAATCTCACCAAAAAAATGTGAATAGAATGAATGTACCCTCTGGTGAACGTTTACATAGCAATGGAAAATCACCATTCTTAATGGGAAAATACACTATTTCAATAGCCATTTTCCATTGCTATGTTAGTTCACCAGAGAATAATCATGTCAAAATGACCATAAAGCCCAAAATCCGCCGACAGTAGCACGTCAGAGAATTTCGGGGACAATTCCAGAGACGATCAAGATGGATATTTCATCAATCTAGATCTACCCTCTGGTAAACTAACATAACTATGGAAAATCACCATTTTTAATGGGAAAATCCACTATTTCAATGGCCATTTTCAATAGCTATGTTAGTTTACCAGAGGGTACTTTAGAAGGAGATTGTAACCCCCTAATTAAAACCTCAGAAGGAGATTGTAACCCCCTAATTTAATGGGAAAATCCACTATTTCAATGGCCATTTCAATGGTTAGTTTACCAGAGGGTAACCAATCAGCAACCTCCAGAATTTCTTCCAGGGGCTTCATGGTGAAAAATTCCCCCACCCTGGGATTCAGCGATCCGGCCTAAATTTGGCTGAAGTTGGATGGATTTCTTGGGAATTCATGGAAAATTAGTGGGAACTTAATGGGAATTTAATGAGGATTTCATGGGAAATCCATGGGATTTGGGATTTATTAGGATTTTTTGTCAAAAATTGGTAATTTATTGGTTAATATGATCATGATTCATAAGAACATCAATTTTTCCATGCCATCCTGCGGCTCTCGAAGACAGCCAAGCATCTCACAGGTGTCTTCGTATGATGCGATGGCAAGGCAGCCTATGTTCTTTGCGGCTGACGTTTTTTCAAGTTGAACCGTGGTTAGAGTGGTTACCCTCTGGTAAACTAACATGGCAATGGAAAATCACCATTTTTAATGGAAAAATCCACTATTTCAATGGCCATTTTCAATAGCAAACTGTTAGTTCACCAGAGGGTAGTTAGATCATCTTATAGTCAATAGATCTTTAGATCATCTTAGATCATCTTTGACCAACAAGGACCCTTCCGTAATGACCATCTGGTGTGGATCCTGCTCAGAATTTACACCGCTTGACCCATATCCATTTGGGGGTACACCTCATTTCAGACACACCCAGAATAATTCAGAATAAGGTTAATTGGCTATATATCCCATTAAATCCGATGAAAGGACCAAGGAACCGAAGGCCAACGTAGCCCACTGGCTGCCGGTTTCGGGCGGTGTGGCGGCACATCGTGCTTCATGAGGTGGTCCTCGTGGATAGATCGAAGACTTTCATGTGGAGCATGGAAGCTGGTTCCAGAGAAATGGAAGTTAGTGGTTGGATTCGTTGGGAGTCCATTATCCCAATAATTCTTAATATCCCAATAACCAGTTATTAATTAATTCTTAATATCCCTGGTTAAGTTAACTGGTGAAAACTGGTTAATAACTAATTATATACAAAAATTAGCCAATTATGAATTCTCAATATCCCATTAACCAGTGGGATTCAGTTCTAGTTATTTAGGTGTGTCTGTTTTTATAGGGGGACACCATGAGATGGCCATTTCACAGGGAAAGATGATGATAAACCACCAGATTTAAGGGATATCTTCAGACACGAAAAGTGGTGCTCCTGAAAAACATGACCCTCTTTCCACAAGGGTTGGTTCGGGTGCAGGTTCCCATCAGGATGAGATGGAAGGCAAAAAAACACCCACAATGACTTTCAAATGTCACAACTTGCAGTATCTTACAGTCCTAAACTGGTTGAGGACCCCGGCCAACATCATCCATCAAGCCATACAAGTCTTGGCTGCCACCCTCTCCTTGCTCATGCCCGTCACCATAAAGACTTTGCCTGAGCGAGTGGTGGCTGTCAGACCCAACAATAAACCTCCCAGTATCCGGTGGAGATGATTGTTGCTTTACTTTTACCGCGCTACTTGGACCATCATGCGCTAAATCTTTGAATGTGCTGATATGGCAGCATGGTGATCGGCCGATGCCCATCCCTACATCACCCATGGCATCACTTCAATTTTTTTCAACCCCAGTCCAAATCACAATGCCAGAAATATGGGACTTTCTACAGAACCAGTGCCTCCATATCCTCCATCTTCCACAAAAATATGAACCTTCTTAGTAGGAAAAACCCATGGAAAAACCCTGAAAAACACCCTCCACCGCATCCCTCGCCTCGATTGGGTGGGCAGCCAAAGGCCTTTTGCTCGTCCACCACTTGCCACCGCAGATAGGCGGACTGTGGCGGAAACTCCTCGGAGCGATGGGATGTCCGACCAGGTCCACCAGAAGATTCAGAATTCGCCAGGATCCGGGTTGATCCGGGTGGGTTTTTTCGATCCAGCCGATCCAGGCCTAGACTCATTCACCTTGGGAAAGACCCTCAGGTCGGTGCAAAGGAAATACTTCCAGTAGAACATGATATCTCGATAGCCTCAGGTGCCGAAACAGGTGCCAAGTTGCTGCTGAACGGAGAAAACTTGGAGGATGATTTGACCCCGATCCTGAATCTGTGTGACCCAAAAATCCCCAAAACGGCAGGGTGACAGATACCCGCGGCCAACTGACTGGCCATGTGCAGCCTGGGAGCATTGGAATTCTGGCCATGTGTGAACCTTGGGTGAAGTCAAGCCATTCCCTCTGTGCAACTCGACATGCCAAGATCATCTTAAAAGGCAGTCATTTCAATGATGCACCTCCGTTTGATCGATTGAAACGTCTGGAAGGTGTCAAAAGAGTATCAGCTATTCAAAAGTCATACAACTTCCCACTCCCACGTCGATTTATGAATGAAATCATAGGTATACCATGTATACCCCATTTTTCCTGGAGGGTCTCACCTGACCAGCTATTTTTTCCACTCCCAGTGGCCAGGTAAGGATCGCTTCCGGCGGCCAGATCTGCCCAGCCTCCACCCGCCTGTGTTAGCCAGTGGATTTAAGGCTACCCAGGCTACCCAAAAATCAGGCGCAAATCCGCTGCATCCTGAGAATTGAAATAGACAATTGGGAGGTAGTATACCACCAGTTCCAGACCCCAAAAATCTTGATTTTGGGGCACTTTTCTGGTATTGATTTCGAGGAAGGGATGCAAAAATATCGGTGTTTCAGCTGCACAGATTCAAATTGGATATCAGCAATGAAAATGGGAATGAATGGTTGCTAGTGAGTTTTTGGGTATTTGATGTTGTAAGGGAGATAAGAATTGGAGTGCTCACTTGCCACCGTTGTTCACCTCTTTGTAAGCAGGATTGTTTCCCAAGTACCTGTTTCTGGTTGTTCTATCCCCGACTGTCCGAGTCGGATGCCAACTTCATCACAGATCCCTATTCGGAGCGATGTATGCTGAGTTTAGATTGATGATATATACACACCTACCTATAGGTGACATCGCATTTTTTGGGGGATCCCTGAATTTTTTGGTTGCATCCTTCCCCATTGGCGGAATGTGCCCCCAGTTTATCCATGACCTGCAAGAGGTGATGGGAACAGATGGTCTGCACCAGCTTCTTCAGGCCTGCGGATGGCTGGGAGAACCCCTGCCCGAAAACATGGAGGATTTCATGGGTCAATGGATTGGTTTAAGGGAAAATCTACAGGAAACCATGGTTTTTACCATCAAATATAGGGCTTTCCTGTAAGTTTTCCCATCATCCAGTTCTATGAATGGGGACTTCAACCTCCAAAAATATGGGCTGCTCCTGTGTCGTCCTAAGATTTTCCCTTCCGGTCATCTCAGTCTTGGTGGAGATGACCTACAAAAATGGGTACACAACTGGTAATCAGGAGGGTACAGGATTTGGATAGAAAAAAGAAACGGGAGATGATGAACAGAAGAGAAGGGGTAATGTTGGTATTCCAACCTTCACTGAGCCACTTCAGCTCTGAGGATGGCAAATGTGCCTGGATGAGCTGAGTATGCAATGCAACCTTGCCAGGGTTTGCCATCTTTGGCTAATCAGTAATGATGCTTGAGAAATCGCAAAGTTTGTCATAGCCAATACACGTGTCACTGTTTCGCGTGGCTATGATTGTTGGAACAAGCCATCTTATCCCGCCCTATGGATTTTATGGGGAATCCTTTTCCCCAACACCAGCCACGGCAACGCCACGGCAACCACGCCTGCTTCCTTGTTGACCCACAGCATCCAGCCATGTTGGTCCCAGTCAAACAGTGTTCGATCTTTACCGCTGGGGACCTTTGGCTTGATGCCGATGTCTGAATCACTGACTGCTTTCAATGAGAACATCCACTCTAAATGGAATTGTGGATGGTAAAATCCGCCGTTTTAATGAGAAAATCCACTCTAGATGGAAGTTTTAATGGGAAAATGTACTGTAAAATGGTGGCTAAATCTTAATTTGCCAGTTTTTGCCACATTTTCCGACATGTTTTCCAGATGTTTCCCCATGTTTTTTCCACATCTTTCCCTGTTCATCCCAGTTTTCTGACGTCTTCCACCATTTCTCACGGGATTTTCCCCATCTTGTTCCACCATTTCTGAGTTTCCCAACCTTTTGCCCCATGGGTTTCCCCCAGCATTTTGCCCCACCTCCAGGGCTTTCTTCACCTCCGAGAAGTAGCTGGCCACCGCGGTGCGCGCCACCGAGATCTCGGGCGTGGTGGCCTCGATCGTCTCGGACTGACGCATGAAGCTGGTCGGGTCCACTGCCTCGGAGCTGGGATCTGGTGGGATCTGACCAACCCATGGAGAGAAAATCTGACTTCAATGGTTGGGTGACTTATGTGACTTATGTGACTTTTTGATTTTGGGGGAGAAATTTGATCTGAAAGATTGGAATTGAAGCAACAAAATATGTGCTATGATCTTATAAATGCTGATGATGAAGCCAGGAAACCGGCTGGTTTGACCCTCCTCTGGGATGGTTCCTGCAAATTTCCACTTCAAAGAAATTCTGGGATTGCAGCCGTTGGTTCAGGGGGAATTTGACTAACGGAATCCCCTTCCAAATATCAAATTTATGGATGTTCATGATGTTTATCCCCCAAAATATGGTATTATGGGTTTTGATCCATGCCCATTTAAGATTGAAAATTGGTGCTTAACCATCAAACCATTGGTAAAGGCCGATTTCATTATATAGAAGGGGTATCTAAATTATCATCGAAACAGAAGGATTTCACCATGAACACTGAAGATACCTGCCAACATGAGGAGCTAAAAACTGGGAGTAAGTTGTCCAAAAACGGGCTTTCATTTCATACGTACTTTACCCGTTTTATCATGTCTTATCACTACCTGGAATTCTCTTTTAAAATGACAACAAATGTTAAGAGTGGTGAAATGTTCACCATTGGGTCATTTGGATCCGGACTGAAGCCCAGGGACCATGGGTTTCCATCCCTTCTGCCCCACGCCATTGATGAGCTCCGAGACCAAACCTCAGAGCGATCTGATCGGCGGGATAGCAGTTGGATAGATCGAAAACTGGCATGTACAAGCTCTGGGATTCATAATGTTTTATATAGTCACTGTAGAAAGGAATAGTTCCGCAGTAGGCTTCCTTTAGTGGTGTGCACACTCACAACTTCACACCAACGCTTTAAGCGCTGCAGCCTTGCCTTTCCACTACATAATCGTCCCCCATCTTCTAAGGCCACGGATGTTTGAGAATCAACCTCTCAGCAATCTCCACGTGCGCCATCAAAAAATGAACAATTATGTTTCGCTTCTTATATTGTTCATGATCAAACATCAAACCACGACCTGCACGCCACATCCAAACAACTTTCTAGACAGGACAATTTAACGCAGCTACCCTCTATTGAATGCCTAGTGTTTTCTTCATATCCGCATCAGTTCCTCCACATATTCTCAGCGCAAAACTATGTCACAAAAATCGTGGTTTTTGTCAAAAAGTCGATTCCCCATTTCTGGTGGATTAGCCTCTGATAAACTAACAGTTTGCTATTGAAGATGGCCCATTTAGTTCGTTGATTTACCGATTTAAAACGGTGATGATCCATATAGCTTTTTCTGTGTTTACCAGAGTGTAAAATCCCATTATAATATCCCATGTTTGGGTGAAATCCCCATGAAAATCATCATTTCAATCCATGAAAATCATCATTTGATGCCCATAAAAATCACCATTAAATTATTAACCAACGCGAAATCCGCCGCTTCGGCACTGGGATTTGGTTCCGCTTCGGCTTCAATCGGTCCATCGTTCTTGGGCTTGGGGATGCCTCCAGCGCGGAAAGGGACCGAAAGGTCAAAGGTTACCATTGGTAATGGTGAATAGTGGTTAATAGTGGTTAATAGGGCTAATCGAAGAGTGAAACATACAGAAGGAATCAGAGCTTATCCAAAAATGTGGAACGAAGTGTCAATCAACTGGGTTGGTGAAACCAACTACTGGTTGGCTGAAACCGGCCCAAGGGTCGAAGGAAGAAACTCTTCCAGCCCACCAAAAAAAAAGACCTCCTCTCCCTCATCTGAAGAAACCTCATCCGGATGTGTTCATCTCAAAAAAATCCTCAGAAAACCAACAAAACCTCGGTGGTCTCTCTTTTTTTTGGGGACCCCAACAAAAATCCTCCGTTCTGAATGGTTCCACTGGGGGTTTCACCCCCCATTTCTTGGGGTTTCAACCCCCACCTGGCAGCACCGTCCGGATCCGCAAAACGCGGTCCGCCATGGCCGCAATGGCACCCAGGACCACAATCTTCACCCCGTCGAAGCTCCCTGGGCCACATGGGACCATGGGGGCTGCGGGGGGTCCACTTACCCGGCCTGGTAAACATACAAAAAGCTATGGAAAATCACCATTTTTTATGGGAAAATCCACTATTTCTATGGTCATTTTCAATAGCTATTTTGACATAACCAGAGGGTAATGGGTGAAAAATAACAGATATAGATGTTCAATGAATGGAAGATCCCCACCTCTGGGATGAAATATATGGCTTGTATATAAGTGATATGTGGATAAACCACTGACTAGGGGTTGCCGGTTGATAACCTTCAGTAAGTGGTTTCCAAGCAATAATAAGAGACAATGATCCTGGCTCTCACGTTGAGCCTTGATGTTGTCATGCGACCATCATATTTCTTGGCTCCAAAAAAAAAGCGGGAAGGTCAAGACATGCCCACTATGCGCCCTGCTTTTCGTGATGATTTGTGATTTCACCCAGGGTCCGGGGTTTGCACATTTCAATATACATGTGTGTGTATGTATGTATGTATGTATGTATGTATGTATGTATGTATGTATGTATGTATGTATG